GTGGGCGGAGACGGAGGGGAGGTGGGCAGAGACGGAGTCACCTCGGAGTACAGCTTTGTAAGTCACAGGTCGAGGGCGCGAAGTCAGAGGCCATTCGACGCGAGCAGGGCCATAGCGCCGGCGGCCCTGCAACGGGCCAATGGCCAGCAGGTGCCGGGGCAGTTCTTTTACGATGGGCCCTCTTTTCAACGGTCGCGACGATCCAGGCCGTCCGCGGTCCTACCAACCCGATGGCTCGGATCGTCCTGCGATCTTAAGACTTTAAGATCGCGCGACGATCCAGGCCGTCCGGCGAGGCGGACGGTCTGGATCGCTGCACGATCTTAGTCTAAAGTCTTAAAGTCTTAAGATCGCCTGGAAATCCGGGCCGTCGGCCGGTAGGCCGCGGGCGGCCCGGATCGGCCAATTGTTGCGCGCCAAATAGCGATTTCTATAAGTGTAGGGATCTGATCTGTGGCAGAACCGGCCGGTGGCCAGCCCAGGCCTGATTTTTATTATTATATCATTGATTTTTATTATTATCATTGATTTTTATTATTATCATTGATTTTATTATATTCAGTATTATAGTGGACAACTACTACAATAACATATATCGTAATCAAAATAATGGTTACTAATTGACTATAATGATAGTATAATCATACAATAATATCATAAATTTATAATCTTATTTATAGCACAGTGTTTGCTTACACCATTGGAATTTTTTTCCCGGGACACGTTAAAAAGGAGAAAATGGCAACTTACAATAATCCAGAGGTCCTGCACATAAATGCCATACGCTGCCCATGTGGAGCTACAAACAAAGCCAAGAAGAGACAGGGAGAATGGCATAAACTCTACACTCAGAGTCTTGATCACGGTTCCCTGCAAGAAGGGCACACAAATTGACACACAATTTAACACCATCAGAACCCATTTGCTTTTGCCTTTGCTTTGGCTTTTGGCTTTTAAGTTTTAACCTTTTGCCTTTGGTTTTGGCTTTTGGTTTTTGACTTTCGGCCTTTTGATTTAGCTTTTGCTTTTTGGTTTTTGCTTTCTGCTTTTTTCTCTTGCTCTTGCCCTTGCTCTTGCTCTGGCTCTTGCTTTGCTTTTGCTTTTGCTTTTGCTTTTGCTTTTGCTTTTTGCTTTTGGCTTTTGTTTTTTGACACAGACTTTTGCTTTTGCATTTGCGTTCGCGCTCGCGTTGCTTTTGCGTTTGGCTTTTGGCTTTTGGCTTTTGGCTTTCGGCTTTTCGCTTTGGCATCGTCTTTTGCGTTGCGTTTGCTTTTGCTTGCAGAACTTACTTCGCCTTGCACCATCCCTGCTCCCCTGGTTTAGTCGGGCGCAAACCCGCAGTTCGAGCAAACTAAATCAGGCGGCAGTCCGAGCAAAGCAAACCAGGCGGCAGTTCGATCAAATCAAACCAGGCGAATAAACCAGGGGAGCAGCGATGGTGCAAGGCGAACCAGCAGTTCGAGCAAACTAAAGCTGCAGTTTGAGCAAACCAAACCAGGCGGGAGTTTGAGCAACCCAAACTAGGTTGTCTTTCCCACTGATCCCCTGCTTTCATAGGGGGACGCCTTAAGATGGAAGACACCTTCTGGGATTACTAGGGGCCAAAACCTGGTTTGACTTCCTCCATCTCACCGCTGCCTTTCTGAATATAAGGAAAGAAAAGAAGAAAAAAGGGAACACTCTCCTTGAAAGAGACCAACAATGCCAATATTCTTGGCCCACAACTTCATCTGGAAAAAGAGCAGGCAAAAGAAGAAACAAAAAAAGGAAAAAAAAGGCAGTTTCTGTTGGATGTTGACAAATGCCCAGCATGTCCAGCAACAGAGTGACATGCATGGCCCCCCGCCAAAAACAAAGGTGATATGCATGCCTTATGTTATGATCCTGGCCAATTTCGAAGTACACATTCATCAGAAAGTACAATGCCGTCCAATTGCAAAAAGAAATGAATGAACTTGAGAGGAGAGAGAGGGTAAGAAGAAGAAGAAGAAGAAGAAGAAGAAGAAGAAGAAGAAGAAGAAGAAGAAGAAGAAGAAAGAGAGAGGAAGAAGATGATGTACACCAGCATAGACCAATGATAATGCTCTTCTTCTTCGCCAACCACTCTCCTCCTCCTTATCTCCTCCTCTCTTATTCACACAAGAAATAATAATAATAATGTTGAATGGCTGAACCAGAATCAATGTCTGAATCCCTCTTCTACTGCAGGTATCACATGAGGTCCACCATAGCCATGGCCACCCTTCCTCCTCCTTCGTCCGAGGCTGAGGCTATGGCGGACTACTAGGGCATCGCACTGATGTCCAAAGGACAAGACAAAGCAGCTATGGCTGCTCTAGCTCAGGCCGCCATGCCTGACTCTGCCTCGAAGCTTCTTAGTGTAGCTCTCCCCAACTGGGGTCTTCTTGCTGCAGCGCCCACCGAGGTGATGAAGATGGCAACCACCATAGCCAGGTAAGTACCTCTGGCGCTCCTCCCTCCTAGTCCTGGTCTTCTTCCTCCTCCTGTCCTTGCTTCTCCCCAGCAGTGCTGCTCCAGCCAGCGCTCCAACCAGTGTGTCACCAAACTTGCTCACCGATAATGAGGAGGAGCAACTGGCTCCTCCTGAAGGTATAGCGGCCTGCTTGCCCTGGGCGAGTGACTTCCCAGGCCGCGCGGCCTCCAAGCAACAGGTACCTCCTCCCTTTCGGAGGGAAACATCATTGCAGACTCTGATATTGCTGGTACAGGCCCTAGACACAGACTGGTTGGACTGGTACCCGCCTAGACCTAGCCTACAACTACTGGGCCTCCAAAAATGCCAACTTTTGTCTTCTTCTGCTCGGCCTAGAGTACCCGGCACATCTACCTCTACCTGGTGTGGTAACGGCCTACCCACTACTTGAGTGTTTTCTGCTGCTTCAAGTGGCGCGGGCCTCTTTCCCTGCCACTTGAGTGTTTTCCCCCGCAGCAATCCTCAATGTCACGGCCACAGGTAAGTGCCGGCCCTTCGGGCCCACTGAACGAACAAGTGCCCTTGCGGTTCACACACACACTCAAGCCGACAAGCACTCAGCCAGACATGCAGACCAGCAAGCGTGCACACACACAGACTTAGAGAACTCAGTAACAAGCGGGAAACTCAGCAAGGCATTCAGTCCATGAGCAAAACTCAGAAATCAGCTGTGTGTCTCAGTCCATGTTTGGTCAGGTCAGTACACTTATGCCATGCCGGCTCACTCTGAAACCAAACAACAATCCCGCTCACAGACAACACCGTGGTTAAACTTCAAGACGGGTGTTTCTGTACCTTACTCTCATACCTTCCTCCAGTCGATACAGAGACAAAGGTACACATCCCTCCCGCTCCCCCCGGCCCCTCTCACTGGCAAGAACACAAGCACAAGTGCACAAGAGATGATAGATAGATAGATAGATAGATAGATACACACACACACACAAACACACACACACACACACACACACACACACACACACACAGAGAGAGAGAGAGAGAGAGAGAGAGAGAGAGAGAGAGAGAG